TTCCTACTAAGGACTGAATAGACTTGGAAATACACCTCATATTTACTAAGTTTTCCTTGACATAATACTGATGATTTTTTTTGCATTTTGTTCTAACTCCACAAAGTTTTCTTGTTTTGGTGACCAGGATCTGCAGCAAAGTTGTAATTTTTTTTTTCTTTTTTTCCAACAAAGCTAACTTGTGTTTGCATTTTCTCTCCCCTTGATACCAACACAGCATACAAATAGTGGTAGTAATTTTGCTACTTATCTTAGAGTCTGTTTTTGCATAACTTACATAGGGATTTTGTCTGTTTTAACAAAAAAATTGGACGCGAGTTTGATTGTGTGGCGTTGTGTGGAGTTCTTCCAGAAAGTTGAAAAAGAGCTGAACCAAGAAGAGGAGAACCTGTTTGCCTTGTTTGTAGGGTTCCAGAGACCTCCAAAGAAGGTGAGGAAGCTTGCCTCCATTGGCAGGACTGGACAACCCGGCCAACGAAAATGCCCTGGTACCCTCGAGAAGAGGAAAGCCCAGGTGGAGTCTGATGAGACCAACTTTATACCTGAAGCATACATCGACTGGATGCCACCGGTTCGCTCTGATCCTGTATGGAGTATTTCAACAAAGCCAGCTAAAAATTGCTGTTAGTTATTTCTGCCCTGTGATTTTATGCAAAAATAGAAAAAATGGTTTAAAAGTAAATTTAATTTGCAAACTTTTGCTATGCTGTTAAAGTTTGGGATCAAGGTTGAGAAAATTCGTTTTTTCATAAGTTGAACCAATTTTAAGATTTTTTTTCTTTTGGCTTGGATAATGGACTATTTTCAAGTAATGGAAAACTGTCATACTGAACATTCATGGACAATGCTGCTGACTAATTGTTGCTTCTCTTACACACATTGTAACCCTGAAAAAAGACTGTCTCCTAAGATTACACCCTGAGATCTGTGCCACCATAGATATGGTGGAATAAAAATTAAAAGGGGGGATTGTAACAGGGTGGTCCCCAGGAAAGAGGGAGGTTCCCTGCCCCTCCCAAGGGAGGGTGGAGCTGAGCAGGAAGAGGAGAAGCTGCAGAAGAGACTGAGGAAAGAAGCAGGATGGAGCCAGGAGACCTGGAGGAGGCGCGTGGAGCCTAGAGACACGTGAAGAAACTGCGCTTGTCTTTTGGTCGTGGACTGGGTGACACAGATGTGGGTGAGACCCGTGGGGAGGTGACAATGGCAGCTTTTATCTTGATGTTGATTTTGCTCTTTTCCTTCTGGGCTTGTCTGATTGTTTCTGACCCTTTGCTGTGGGTTCCCACTGGAAGGTGCTTTAGACTCATGGCAGGCTTTGGGGCCTTGCTCTGGGCCAATCCCATTTGGATGGACTTTTACCCACGAGGGGACGGGTAACTTTGGGTGCTTCACTTAGAAACTAGACTCTTTGCCTTACCTGTATTGTTTCCTAGTTTTATTAAAGTTCCTTCCCATTAAAGTCTCCTATGTTTTGTGTTGATGCGGCGGATGGCAGAACCCATTTAGAATAGGCAGGTTTGTGGGGTTTGGGCTGCCCCTCTCCCTGTCCTATAACAGTATCAGTTTAATTTGAGGTACTTTTGGATTTAGTTGGTACTTTAGAAATGTTTCCAAAATCCTATTTTTTTTTTTTTTTTTTTTTAAGGATGAAGAAAGAATTTAAGGTGCTTGCCTCCAGTCACCTAAGTAACAGGCACTGTACAGCCAGGACTCATGTTAAGCTTAGGGGACATTATACTATAAACTCCCAGAAATACTTTAAGCAGAAAGAAATGCTGCACTCCAGAGTGGATACCCCACTAAACACTGGCTCTCGAGCTGCCATGTGCTTTACTGAGCCTTAGTTACGCAAAGTGGAAGGGTTTCAAGTAAAGAAGGAACTGATATTTCTTAAAATAAGGGTATACTTATTTTACATCAAGCTATCTCATTTCTCATCACGACCAAACAAAATAGGCCTTACCACCATTTTTGAGGTGAGAAAATTGGCTTTAGAAAGATTAAATCGCTCAAATTTTAACTACAAACCAGATGTGTACACGGGTCAAGTCATGCTCATTCGCTTTCATACCGCCCCAATTGAGCCGTAGACTCATCCTATAAAGTTCAGAGGAGAGCAGCATGCGAGTCAGGAGAGGTCTCCTGCGCCCTGCGGGTGGCTCCCTGGCTGCTGGGAATCAAACTCCTTGCAGCAGAGGCTGCAGATAGTGTCATTGGTTGCGTCTTAACCCCTTGTGCCACCAGAGAGGCCCCCTCCCCCCACACCTCTGGCCTATACCCCAGTTCTTGTATGCATAAATAAATAAATCTTAAAAAAAAAAAAAAAGTTCAAAGAAGGAAACTCACTCATTTGGAACCAAGATAGGGCCAAAAAGTAGATTGGTTGACCCCTCAATACCCAGGCCACTGGTACTCGTGCAGACACCGGCTTTTAAGGATTTGCCAATCTACACCACTCTATAAATGAGGGGAGTGCTGGAGGTGGGGTAGGAGAAGGCACCCAAATGGTAGGAAGGTGAGAACTGAGTGTGTCCTTGCTTCTGCTCACGCCTGTTAACAAAACCCAGAGAGTGACATATTTCAGGGGCTAAGTGTTGGCCACCATTGTTTTCCTTATTTCCTCTTATGAATCAAGTTTTAGGGCCTCCCTGGCGGCGCAAGGGGTTAAGCACCACACTATGATGCAGTCCCCAGCCTCTGCTGTGAGGGGTTCCATTCCCGGCCAGCCATGGAGAGACCCACATGGTGCGGCAGACCTCTCCTGTCTTGCCCGCTGCTCCCCTCAACAGTGTTTTCTGTCAATTTGCCTGTTTTGCTCCCCACTCTCTTTCTGGTGGATTCTGTCACCGCTCCCCCCCGCCCCCAATCTCTGGCCTGTGCCCCAGCTCTTGTACGCATAAACAACAAATCTTTTTTTAAAAAACCAAGTTTAACCCTAAGTTTCAACCCAGAAAAGGCTAAGGCAGACAAGGCGTGCACCTCAGACCTTAGTGGAAACTCGCAGTGTGAAGCAAAATTCCAGCCACGCCGGCGGCGGGGACTTGAGGCTGGTTTAAAAGAAAAGTTGAGCAAGCGGCGGAGCAGCGAGTCAGGCTCCAGGACGGCGTCGGGCGCCGCGCGGGGTGGGGCGCGGCCGCCCGGCCGGGCTTCCTCCCGGCCCCCGCCGCCCCCGCGCGGCACGTGACCCGCCGTGTTGTGGTCCGGCCCGCGTGGGTGGCGGGAGCGGCGCGAGGGCGGGGGCGGGTCACGTGACCGGGTTTAAATCTCCCGCAGCCGGAGCCGCGGGGGCGCCAGAGCCGCGAGTCGGGCGGGAGCAGCGGAGGCGAGGGAGGAGGGCCAGAGAGGCAGTTGGAAGATGGCGGACGAGGCGGCGCTCGCCCTTCAGCCCGGCGGCTCCCCCTCGGCGGCGGCGGCCGAGAGGGAGGCCGCGTCGCCTCCCGCCGGGGAGCCGCTCCGCAAGAGGCCGCGGCGGGACGGCGCCGGCCCCGGGCAGAGCCCGGGCGAGCCCAGCGGGGCGGCCCCCGAGCGGGAGGCGCTGGCGGCGGCCGGGGGGTGCCCGGCCGCGGCGGCGGCGGCGCTGTGGCGGGAGGCGGCGACGGGCGGGGAGCGGGCGGCGGCGGCGGCGGCGGCCGGAGGAGACAATGGGCCGGGCCTGCAGGGCCGCTCCCGGGAGCCGCCGCCGGCCGACGACTTCGACGACGACGACGAGGGCGAGGAGGAGGAGGAAGAGGCGGCGGCGGCGGTGGCGATCGGGTACCGAGGTGCGCGGGGCGCGGGCGGCCGGGGCGGCGCATCCCCTCGGCCCTCTCCGGGGCCCCTCCCGGGGCGGGCGCGGGCCGGCGGGGGGCGGGGGCGGCCCGGGGCCGGCTCTGCGGCGAGCGGCTCCCCGGCGGCTGCGGCGGCGCGCCTGGGGCGGCGGGCCCGGCTGCGGGAGCGGCCCGCGGCCCCGCGCCCGCCCTGCGCCCTCTCCCCGGCCGCGGCCCGCGGGGCGCGCTCGCTCTGCGCAGCCGCCGGGCGGGGACGCTCTGGCAGTTGGGTTCCGAGAAGTTTTGCGTTGCAGCATGTTGCTTTTCTTACAAGATCTTTTGCGCCTCACCCCAGCATCCTTAAATCTGCAACTTTCGCTCGCCCTGGGCATCGACCTTTTTGTAAATTGCCTTTGCAAAATGACACCTGTTCAATTTGTGACTTTTGGGGGGGGCGGGGGAGGGCCTTTTTTTTCAACTCGCTTTAAATTACAAATACTGAAGCTGTTTCTAAAGCCATATCCTGCAAATTTGAAGAGCTTAGCTGTTTCCAAAGACATTATTCGTCTGGTAATAGTGGGCATGGGAGAGTCCACTATCGGACAGAGTGGGTTGCCCCCCCCCCCAATTGCGTTCTTTCAAGTTTTTTAGGTTGTGTACGTGTAGGTGGGTGGGAAACCCTGAAAGCACGAATTGACGTCTTTCTGCCTCACTAACATAGATAGCTCAGTTGTATTTGTCACCTAATCCTGAGGGTTATATAGTTTCGATCTGAGGAGTTTGCCCTGAATAGTTGTGCGTTTTATCAATATTCATTTGCGTTAATAAATCCAATCTACAGGCCATTCAGCCACCAAAAAGAGGAAACAAACATGTACATCAGGGGTTGGGTTAATAAAAGGATCATTGATTACAAATAATTTAGAAAGGGAAACGAATAATGCAAAAATATCTTTGTATGTTTAGTATTATATAAGAGAAGCACAAATTACTGTAATTGTATTTAAGGACTTTTGGGTAAGCTTATTTGACAAATTTTTGAACTGCATTATTTTTGATAAGTAGATTCAGTCTACTTTTTATGTTTTAACTGAGTAGACTTAATTCTAAATTTTAAAGAATGGAAAGTTTTAAGAGTCTGGGCATAATTCCTAAAAATAAGGATATATTGCTCCTATGAATGGTGCATGGTGACCCTTACACAGGCAATATCAACTTTAAGGGTTTTATTCAATGAAAATCATTGCTACTTACCATTAGAGATCTTCATGCATTTTAGATGCAGATTTTCCAGCAGCCTTGAGTTACTTTTGTTTACTTTTGCAGACAACCTTCTGTTTGGTGATGAAATAATCACCAACGGTTTTCATTCCTGTGAAAGTGATGAAGATGATAGAGCCTCACATGCAAGCTCTAGTGACTGGACCCCAAGGCCACGCATAGGTATGTTTTCAGAGAATGCATGCCTTTTTTGGTATTTTCATTTTGTGTTAACTAAAATATATAATTTTCTTCCCCCTCAAGCTGGTGATGAGGTTCTTAGATGCTTGCTGAGATTTTTCGTCAGCTCATGTTTTTAGGGAAAGTACAGTGCTTTGTTCTGTTTTTGTTTATAAGCAGCTCTGGCCTATGGAAAGCTGATCCTGGTATTTCTCAGTCAACCAGGCCCTTTTCTTCTCACCTGGGATCCTTTTCACTTGTACCCTCTGTGAGGAATACCCTTCTTCCAGTTAAAATATGCTGTCTCACACATATCCCTACATTATTTTTTTAGCACTAAATAAGCTATTTATGTTTTTTTTTTGGTTTATTTCCTCTTCTAGACAGTAAGTCCCACGGGGACAGTAATTTGTGACTGATTTTATTTGTATACTGTTTTGTCAGTACCTAGAAAAGTGCCCGGCATATAAAGTTTCTGCTTTGTAAATATTTATTAAATATGTGCATGGAATAAAAAGCATTTTAAAGTAGAGAGCACTGATTTTTATACCACAATTTTAACATAACCATCTCTAATGTGATCTTTTCCTTAAGGTGTTCTCTTTAAACATAATGATGACTGTTTCTTCTTCTTAGGTGTAATATTTGCTATATATTTGTTTTTCTCAAATGAGGAAACTGTTCTAAGAAATTCAGGTTAAAAAATTAGTGCTCAAAGCATCAGCATTGTATGTATCATTTGGGAGATTTGTTAATATCAAACTGAAGATTTTTTTTTTTTTTTTACTTTTTTTTATTTTTTCTTTTATTTTTTAAAGATTTATTTATTTTATACAAGAACTGGGGTACAGGTCAGAAGTGTGGAGGGTGAGAGAATTTGCCAGAGCCGGGAGCATAACAGGCAGACCGAGTGAAAACACTGCTGAGGGGAGCAGTGGGCAAGGCAGGAGAGGTCTGCTGCGCCATGTGGGGTTGTCCCTGGCTGGCGGGGAATCGAACCGGTGCTGCAGAGGCTGCGGACAGCTTCGCAGCGCAGCGTTCAACCAACTGCGCCACCAGGGAGGCCCTCAAACTGAAGATTATTATAGAAAGAAAAAAAGTTATGTGTAGATCTCCTTTATGTTTTCCTTTTTAATGATTTTCAGGACTGATAATAGGTTATGTTAATTTATTTGTCGAATTCTTTTGTATATCTGTTATTACGATGTATTTTCCTGGATTTTACCTATAAAAACTTAATTCTGATAGTCTGACTTTTAAAATACGTACTTGGTATTTCAGAGCTCAAGGGTATGCCCAATTCAATTTGATTTCCCTTACTTCTGTGGGGTTGAGATTTAGCTTTGAAGATGTAAGAAATACCTTATTGCATTTTCTTATTTAGCAAAAAGTCTTCCTAAAGATTGCTAATTTAGAAAATACATGAAATGTTGCATTACTTGCAAGTGGATTTGATCTTAACTCCTCATTTCTTCATATAGGTCCCTATACCTTTGTTCAGCAACATCTCATGATTGGCACAGATCCTCGAACAATTCTGAAGGATTTACTACCAGAAACAATTCCTCCACCTGAATTAGATGATATGACACTGTGGCAGATTGTTATTAATATCCTTTCAGAACCTCCAAAAAGGAAAAAAAGGAAAGATGTTAATACAATTGAAGATGCTGTGAAATTACTGCAAGAATGCAAAAAAATAATAGTTCTAACTGGAGCTGGGGTATGTAACATGTATAATTAACACTAGTAAAAGGGGGTGGTGGCATACTTTTTTTCTTACGTTTTTTCAAATTAAGAAACATTTTTCTGGTGTAGAAGAATTTATCCTTATATAATGTTTATGTTCGGAAACCTCTAAAAAGTGAGTGCAACAGCTATTACTAAATTTGTTCAGTTTTTCTTTTTAAAGATTTATTTATGTATATAGAACTGGGGTACAGGCCAGAGATGTGGGGGGTGAGAGGATTCACCAGAGATAGTGGGGAGCAGAATAGGCAGATTGACTGAAATACACTGCTGAGGGGAGCAGTGGGCAAGTCAGGAGAGGTCTGCTACGCCATGTGGGTAGCTCCCTGGTGGCCGGCCCGAGATCAGACTTGTGCTGCAGTAGCTGCGGACAGCCTCACAGGTTGTGTCCCAACCCCCTGCACCACCAGGGAGGCCCTGGTTCAGTTTTTTTAAAAAGTCAAAATCTTAAAAAAATTTATTTGTTTACTGACATAGTGGAGGTAAGGCAAGATTTTTTCAGGTGATTCTGCTTGCATTAAAGTGTCTCAGAATATGATGGAGAAACTGGATCTTTGTTACATCTGTATGGCAAAACCAGTAACCTGACTCATATTCACAAGTAAAGAACTTAGTGTTGGGAGGATAACAGGTTACTAGTTCTCCCTTTTAAATTAAGGTGATATGATTATGGTGGCTTGGCATTTTTCATTTGCCCCAGTTTAAGGTTGCAGTTACCAGCTATGAAAGACTTGCTTATTGTAAGTATTAACAGAATACAGAACATTACATGGTAGTAGTAGCCAGAGCAACTGCTGGAGTGTAATTCAATCCTGTTTTCTGCCATTTTGTGTTAAAGGGAAGGATGTCACATTTTCTTAAATGATGAGCAAAATTATGAGTTGCTCCCAGATATGATTTGTGATTTACACAGGTTTGTCTTACTGAAGTCAATGTGGAATCAATGCTAGTAAAATTATGAAAAAAAAACATCATTGCTGAAATCCTTATTTGAAATGTCAAGGTTTAGTTGTAGGAAAAGGTGTCTAAATCTATTTTTTTTTTTTAAGATTTTTTATTTTTGTGTAGTATAACTGAGGTGTAGGACAAAAGTGGGGGGTGGGGGTGAGAGGATTCACCAGAGACAGAGTGGGGAACAGAACAGGCAGATCCACTGAAATACACTGCTAAGGGGAGCAGCAAGCGAAACAGGAGACCTCTGCTGCACCATGTGGGCTAAGCCCCCTCATGGCACTGGTGGGCCATCATGGTGGTAATGTGCTGAGACTCAACCCTTAGACCATCAGGGAGATGCCCCTAAATCATTCTTAAAATTGAAATATTGTACAACAAAATGTTTAAATAGTGAAATTTAGTATTCTTAAGATGGTAGAACCCTAGCAAGATGAAAGATTTCTTTGGAAGTACCCCCTTCTCAATCAGTTTGCAACTGCTTTAATTTATTGGTAAAATAAATGTTAAAAGTTAGCCTGGCTTAAAATTCCTTATCCCGTTATGAATGGAATATGTGGTGAATTTAATTATACCGGTTTGGGAGATGTTTTATTTCTACTTGAAATAGGGCAACATTTCTGTTACCCAAAGGAAGTTTTAAACTAAAAGTCTTCAAATATTCCCTAGTTGTTTGGTACAAAAGCTACAATTATAAAGATAGAGGTAGAAGATTCAATTGTATAAAGTATATCATGCTTATTTCAGGTATCTGTTTCTTGTGGAATACCTGACTTCAGGTCAAGAGATGGTATTTATGCTCGCCTTGCTGTAGACTTCCCAGACCTTCCAGATCCTCAAGCAATGTTTGATATTGAATATTTCAGAAAAGATCCAAGACCATTCTTCAAGTTTGCAAAGGTACTATGAACTCTTTAGTTGTTTCTTTGGCATCCTCTTATCTTGAAAAAGTATTTTATTCACATACAGTCTAAAGCTTACCATGTATTGTCTAGAAAAATTGGTACTGGTAACTGTGGTGTGGAGTAAGATCAGAGAAATAAAAAGTCATTTCAGTCAGAATTCTCTTCTTCCCAGAAGGGCTATCATTTAATTTATTTTAGGATTGAGCTTATTTTCAAATAAGACTTTTATATTTTTCAAATTTGCATGTCAGTAATAGCTTTCATATAGTGTAGTCTTTTCAGATGTTAGTAGGCCATATAAAAGTAACATTACTGTTTTAAGTTCTAATATTTTTTGTGGGTTGTAAAATTATAACCATGCTTTGGTATGTTTTTTGGTAGACATTTTTAACATGAGTGTGACTGAAATATTTGTGATGGGGTGGAGAGGATTCTTAGATTGCATTTAGTCAATTTTGTTCTGCTCTAGTCTAGTCTAATCTAGTCTTTCTGGAATTCAGAAGTTACCTAGCCACATGGGGCTGTTGAGTACTTGAAATGTGTTGATGTGATGTTTGAGAGACAGAAGAGCTTTGGGAAAATCTATTATTCAAAATGATGTGAAAATGTCATTTTATTTATTACACAATAGCAAATAATGGTTACAGTGGAAATAGTAATACTTTAAATATTGGGGTGTAAATTATGGCAGTTTTAAACTTTGGTTACTAGGAAATTTTAAGTTATTCATGGCTCACCTTATATTTCTATCAGGCAGCTCTGTTTCAGAGTAAAGTTTGATATTATATTACACTACGACCAGAATCTTTTAGTCATTAGAAAATCTTTTTCCTATAGTTTAGTAAGTTACAAAATTGTTATTGCTAAACTTCACTGTGTTTGAAAGGATTTTTTTTGTTTCAATGACTTTTATAGTGACTCTAGAAGATCTCTCAATTTTATTGTTTATTTTTTGCGTAGAATTGGGGTGAAGGCCAGAGGTACAAGGTGGTGAGAGGATTCACTAGAGACAGGAGCAGAACAGGCAGATTTACTGAAATACACTGCTAAGGGGAGTAGCAGGTGAGACAGGAGAAGTCTGCTGTGCCATATGTGGGTTAGCTCCCTGGTTGGGAATTGTACTCACCAAACTTAGGTTGTAGACTTGATAGCACTGATACTTAACCCCAAAGCCACCAGGGAGTCCCAGTACCTGAATTTTAAATAAAGGGATACCTTCAGATACTTTCAAATCATGAGATCTGCTTATATAACTAGCCCTTTGCACTCCGAACCATTTTACAATATTTTGATTTAATTTCTTGTGCCATTTCAAGATAA